GACGAGAGGCTCTGGCCAAATCATATCAAAATAGCATCTGATTGGCTACAACGAATGTTATTGTTCTAATACCGGATATATTCTATTACCATTTTTTTGTTGCATGCCCATATATGGGCATGCAACTTTCATATAGCTCTAAATTTCGCGTCGTGTACGTACGTTGTGTGTTGTACCGGCGGTGGTAAATCACGTGACAGATTCGTAAAATACAAAGAAAATATTGATTTTTCGTCGAAAATTTACGTAATTTAGCGCCTTACAAAAATAGATCGAGGTAGGTAAAGCTTTGCTGTTTTTAATTTACCTTATATTTTGGTGCCATTGTGATCGCACTGATATTTATCAATTTAGATCAGGCGTTTTAATATTATATATCGTGTGAAAGACTACGCCGTAACCTTTCACACGATATATAAACCGCTACGCTATCAAAATATGCTCAAATTGAAACGAAGCCATTGTGCTAACACTGATTAAATTGTGTGCAAAACGTCAAAACTACATCACATTCTGTAAATAACATGAAATATATTTAAAAGTCAAACAAAGTTCTCATTATACTATCGTCTATTGAAATTTAATACAACGAAATAGCATTCTACTTCGATAATTTCAGTAATGGTTACCCTGGTTCCAGAGGTTTATTTTTATTATTTTCATTGCGACGGGGAGAGGAAAAATAAACCTCTGGTTGAAAGCGGCAATTGATTCATCGAGCCGCGCCAATCAGTTTGAATTAGGGTCAGATCCTGACTCTGTCTCCTGATTGGATGATTGTATTAAAGCTCTCTGATTGATTCAAATAAAACATCTACAACCAATCACAGAGCTTTAATACAATCATCCAATCAGGAGACAGAGTCAGGATCTGACCCTAATTCAAACTGATTGGCGCGGCTCGATGAATCAATTGCCGCTTTCAACCACAGGTTTATTTTAAACCTCTGGAACCAGGGTATTGATCGGCCCATGAGTATCCTAAAATCTATGAAGGCCGTAAAGGGTTTTCATACCATCCCAGCTATTCCAGTTTTTCCTAACTGATCGAATCGCTACTCAAGTTATCATTTCATATAACCATAGTATTATTAAATCGAAGTAAAAACACGAAATTTCGGCACACTCGTTGCAACTTCGTGTTAACTGCGCAAAACAATACAAAGGGACTGTCGCTGGACATCAATTTTGGCTTCAATTTCTAATCACTGGACGTTAAATTTGGCTTCACTTTCTTCACTTTACTCCAGATATCAAACTGAAGAATCAATAGCTGGGGGAATGGATTCTTAAATTTGACCGCTTAAACTCGACATTTTGACTTACTTTATCATAAAGAGCAATGTAGATTGAGAATCCAAAAGTGGCGGCGACGCCAACTTTCTCTGCAAGTTGACCACATAGTTCCTTTGCTGTTGTTGCTGAGTCAGCATAAAGTGTCTTCGTGTTGCCATCCATGAACGTTATCGGTAGAATCAGTGGCTTCTTTGACTTCGTAGCCTGAATTTGAAAATATAGATAC